ACCTCCGAAACTCGCGTGTTTGGCTCTGGCATACCAACCTTGGGTAAGGCTTGAAACATTTCTAAAAAATTTATGATTTAGTTGCGTCAACTGGTCTGTGAGCCTGGATGCCGGCTAGGAGTATGTGAGCATTATCATGTCGAATTCTTGCTCAGTGCCACTCCACGATCCATTGTCGAAAGTCATAGAGCCATTCTAGCGATTAACACTTGAAGTATCTTACGCCCGAAGTTCTCAATGGAGATCTGGCTACTTGCCGACTTTTCTTGATGAGTATGGCCGTCTCGGAAAAGTGATATTGTGTCAAGACGGCCCGAGACGGTTCACAGAGTTCTAGTGTCAAGTAGTTAGTAGAAACTTTATACATATTATATAGTACTGTGTTTGTTCACATCTATCCGAAGGTGAACTAAGCAATGGAATTAAAGAGGTTTACTTAGATTGTAATCTAAGAACTCAAATAGTCTTATCACCGAATGTTTAATGTTTGATTGTAATGTTTCCTACAATAAATATGTTCTGTAAAAGGTTTTGATGCTGAGCTTTATAGTGATCCGCTCTTGGATTGCTTTGAAAATATTGTACGCACACAGGTACGAACCTTCTCCCACTGTGAATTTATTGATATAATTGAAGAAAGGCTGAATTCGGCACAAAGGCAAAGTTAAGTTAACGGGAATTGAACTCCAATCTACATGATCAGTGTGTTCTAAATGAGCGGCCTTTCTGTTTTGGAAAAAAGTGTCCTCATAAGGAAAGAATTGATTGTGAACTAGTCACTCTGTTATGAATTTTTAACGATTCCTCATACCAAGATGATAAGTATACGAATGGAATCCGATTAGTGTCTTCTCAACCGACACCTTTTGCTTTTGTGTGGGCTATGATAAGTACACTTCATTTACTGTCTGAGGAATACTTTGATCCTCGTTTAAGATTAAGAACATCAGGGTTGAATGCTTTAGAGTTTGAAATATATCAGTGAAGGCCAACATTGTTGTGGGCATTTTGAAGAAAGTGAAAGAAAGCACTATTATAATCTCCTTTCATTTTCCTACTCCCATTTGACTTTCAGCCGACGCAAATAACTAAATTCTACTACGAAAATTCTTTGAATTATTAAACGTTTGAGGTTATTCCCGAAGGCAATACTATAGAAATTAGTAGTGCTATTTTTCCGTGTTGGTCAACTTCTCGATGTTCACCAAGTCAGAATTTTGCTCACTTCAAATGAAGTCTTCGACTATCGAATAAATTTGAATATTCGAAAAAAACTAGGGAAAATTCCATGTGTTCTTTGGACTGTTGCTTGAATTGCTTCACTAGTCACCGCCCTACCCTGCTCTCACTAACTTAGTCAGTGGGACAGAAAAATGATTGATATGCCCATTTGAGAGCGCATGTGGCGCAGTAGTTAAGAGGTGTTCTGCTTCGCACACGAGGTCAATGCATCCCCCTGGGATCGGTAAATTGGTACCAGGCTGGTCTCAGGCTTGTCTGGGAGGATATGCAGCACTGACTCGGTTTGGCGGGAGATCACCGCGAGTCATTGTAAAGGCCAGATATGCATTGAATCACCTCGAACGAAGTTAAAAATTGAAGACGAATGCTTGGTGCATCACTCAGGGATTTTTAGCGCCGAGAGCTTTGCCCTTTTATCCTCGTACACCCATTTCAACGCTGAATGCTATATTTTGGCTATGTATATCAATACAAATCTTCTTGAGCGAAAATCTTGTAGTTAAAACAGGACGTCATGAGATTCAGAGATTATGAATAATTGGGTAATGAATTAGTTAGTGAACTAAGGTAATGGTTGTGAACCACAGGGCAGATATTGAAGTCATAAAGAAAATGCTGAAGGAGTCTCTGCGACAAGTAATGGATCCGACCTCGGATGTTTATTCACACAAGTGCTCATTTCTGTTCTCCTTAGAACAATGTTTCAATCATGTCGACCCGCACTGTGGTTGTGGGTTTTTCATAGTAACGAGCAACGATGAGTCCGCCACCTTAACAAAGTCTCCAAGACGGATGGTTTCAACGTTATCATTCGAAAACTTGTTTAGAGCGAGCCAATGGTAAGATTCAACGCCGTAACGGTAGCAGACTGGCAAATATTTTTTCGATCCAGGATGTCAAATGGCTGTATAAGGACAACCCACATTTTCCCTGAGATCTACATGGTCAGTTGCGAAACGTAGCAGTTATGTGACTGATTAGCTACAAGTATAGTGATAAATATCAATTGTATTGGCACAAAAGTAATTGCGATTCTATAGTAGTCTGAAACTGTAATTACTCTCGCAATTTCCTTAAACGGCGACGATGGTGTAGAATGACCAATGTTAAGTTCTCCTGCAACATCACGCGCAATTTGGGAGGACCACCTCCGAAGATTGCTCTCAACTGACACATTTTTTTCGGCGCTCCTCCATCTTTGAGGCTCTCGTCTTCACTACAAAACTTCTTAAGCCACCACTGCTCTGCATATTTGTTAGACGTCCCTAAGACTATTGCGTACCAAATGTCGCGAGTTGTCTCTGCTGCTTTACGATTTTGAACTCATGGTTTCAAACCGCGATTACATTTGCGTGGATTGAAATCCTTTCCACAATCTTGGATAAGCAAGAAATAAACAGCAAACAATGCACCATTAGCAACGATTCATAAATCTAGAAATAAGCAGTGAAATGATGTAAAATATAATCACACTGATTTGACGGCGTCGGTAGCGCAACGATTCAGTACGCGCTCTTGTATAGAGTGAAATGTGGGTCGAATCCCAGCTGAAGCAAACCTTTTTTGCACACCACTCTGCATCGTTGGGCATAATCACATTTCCAGGAACTTTATCCTTTATGAAACATAATCGCTCTTATTTAGAAATATATTCCAATAATGATTTGGAATTCACGGTTTGAAATTGTATATACGTTTGCACCAACCTGATTACATATATATATATATATATATATATATATCCCTAGAGATGCTCCCATTTGAAGAATTACGGAGTAAGAAATTAATGGTGATGACTTGTTTTATCCCAGTTCCGATCGTTCTTCGGGTCATTTCAACGAGTTCTATACCTTTATCCAGGTCGAATGATAAAGAACACCTTACGAAAAGGATTTCGATGTCACTACACTGTTTTGATTTCTCATCAAAAAATCTCAGTGCGGAGGTAAGTTTTGTTCCAACAGTATGGTTTATTATGGTTTATAATCTCCACTCTTTTCTCCTTTTTCAACTTGTAAGTAAATTAGTTTTTATTCAAGCTAGGCTTAAACTTTAAAAAATGGGTTTTGAACTTACATGGTATTTACACTTTTACTTTTTCGATGAATGACTACTTTATCATAAATGTCAAACTGTGGAAAACTCATCATTGCACAACTACCTTGATTTTCAGCTCACAATCGTTTTCTGTGCTTTTCTTTTTTTCCTTCGTTATAAATCTCACTATTATTTCCGGTAAAAAACGAATGAATACCATAGGCTGAGATTCCTTGAAAGTACTTTTGGTCTAGAAGGTTTTTATTGATGCTAAGTCTTACAAGCATTGTACTTATCTCTCAGTTTTCACCGCTTCCACCATCATATGCATATATATATATATATATAAGTATATATAGACACATATATGTATGTAAAGATATAACTGTACATACGGTCATATATGCATATAAATATAGATAAATGAATAAATAAATAAATAAATAAATAAATATATAAATAATAAATATATATATATATATATATATATATATAGGTGAAGAACACGACTAATGAAATTGTTTGTTTTTTATTCTCTATGGAAACTTCTAAGTAAAGCTGCAATGATATGTATGCGCAGAATCAAAACATATCTACTTAAATTATATAATATCTATGTTTGCTTAGGATTTCCTGTCGGAATTCAGTAGCAGTGTGGCATAAAAAAGAAGAGGAAGAAACGATCAAGTTCTTAACGCTTTCGGATATTCCGATAGATTTGATGTTGGTGGAACGACTGCAGTTTCCAGCGTTCTAGAATAAACCGCCGCACATCATACTTCTCAGTGAATCCATGCTATTCTACCTTCTTATTTTAATTTCAGGTGCGATATGTAAAGAACTTCTTCTTATTGCATTAAAGTTAATTATTCAACTAAAACTGCAATAGTGAAAGTAAGTGAATGCTTTAATCCCATTCGTCCCATGTAGATACTGAGATGCCTATATGCTAATTTACCCCGTTTGAAAATTGGTCTTCAAATTCAGCCTTTACCTACTCAGAAGTTTTTTCTTTGTTTTTTTTTCTGGAAACCGAAGATAGGAGAGTTTCCTAAGAAGCACAGAGGGTTCCACCTTATTATGATGCAATGGGAAATATGCGTCAAAGTGGGTTCACTGAGCCAATGACGCTTCAGTCTCGCGCTCCCTTCAAAGCCCTCTGAAAATATTATAATATCATCTAGTGACTCAATAAACATTATTTGGAAGCATTCAATTTCACAAAAGTGTTTTCAGTTGCCGATTACCGTTCATTGGGAAAAAACGATGATAAGACTTTTTCTTGCAAACATGCCACATATGAATGGTTCTCATCACACAGATGTGACAGATCGATTTACAACGTGAAGATGACAGCAAAGATCCAAAGTTTTAGTGGAAAAAAAATGCATTCGTCTTGTCATATCAGGGATTTACCAAAATGAGGAAGTAATTTTAGACGTCAAAATTTGGTATACAAATATATAAGTCATTCGAAACGCAAGGACGAACTTTATCAAAGCAAAAGACAAGGAACCATATTTTCATTAAGTGGGATATTTAGTTTTTGTTAGGAAAAGCTATCTCACGCATCGTAAGAATCAGAAAAAAGCTACCACACTTGCTGCACTTCGTGGATCCCAGTATTGATAATCAATCAGAAATAATGTTGCTTGACCACCTCTTAACGGTGGTATGATGTCACAATATACCTAAAGATGTAGAGTGGTGCGCAAAAGCGTTGCGTCAGGTGGGACTCGAACCCACATTTTATTCTATACGGGAACGCGTGCTGGACCGTTGCACTACCGACGCATTGGTCGTAATATTGTGTGCATCCGATTCGCTTCCTCGTACCTGTCGTCAACGAAAGCTCTCGAAATTTTTTTGTATGGCGTCGGCTGTTGCTTAGAAATTTCTTCTTACTTGGAAACCTCTTCCTAATTGTTACATATCTCGGATCTAGTCAAGTCTCTCTGTAATCTCTAGATAACTGTGCTACACGGAGCGTACCTTGGTTGTAGGAAGTGAACGCATCCCAGATAAGTCTGTTATTAATTTCGCAATCCAGAAGGTATGAGAGATTTGATGAACGGGGGCGGGGTGTGAAATGACTTTTGATGAGGGTGGACCATTCACATAGTGACTTTGTCACTGCACTGATCGCTTTCTTTTCTAAGCATATTATGAGTTGAAACAAATTAAATAATACAAAATTTATTTTCACCTTTTCCTAGAAATTTTGAATTGGTAGCCACGACCATTGTCGTTGAATCACCCCTAAAGTAGATCGGAAAAATGGATGTTTGATGAATGTCAGTGGTTGAAAATTGCCACAAAACGATAAAGAACTTGATTGATTCTGCGACGTATCATGTAAATCAAAGCTAGGAACAAGACCCTTCTACTTTTCTCAGTTTCTGAGAAACATTATTTCATGTAGTAATAGTGCTGTAAAAAAATTTTAATGAGATACGGTGCTATCTGAATCGTCCTCTCGAACTTCTCTACATTAGTGCTTGACAAGAACAAGAAGACGGTGCAAGTGTAGCACGCGCTCCCCGGTATATGCTGACCTCTGAATCCCAAAGAAACAAAAAACAAGACGGCCATTGTAGCACTAGAGCTGAGTGGAGCCACGGCGCTGCGGTATAGCTGACCGACCGATCTGGACAGCACACATTTAAGCGTATATTCAAAAAATTATAAAACACTGCGAGAGGGGCGAGAAACAGCGACGCATCCTGGTTGCAGCAGAAAACACATTGCAAATAATCGTAGAAATTACGTACCTACAATGCGGGCCGTTCAAGGTAATCTATAGATAAATAATCTTGGATAATACGTACCACAATGGCCGTCAGGTTAATTGATTTTATGAAACTATATCGCTTACCCGACAAAACCTGTTATAGATTGGTGGCTGATAGTTATGATACAGACATTGAAGAATGTGTGAAAGTGAAATGGTGCCTCTGTGGTGAAGTGGTAGCTCGCAGCTCCCCAGTATCGGTGAAACACGAGTTCAACTCTCATCTGCGGTTAAGCTTTTTGCTAATCACTCTGTGCAACACTACGAAAAAGCAGTAAAAAACGGGGAGAAATTTTGAATATTACAACTCATACTAAGGATTTTTGCTATTGAAACAGACTATTTGACTATGTTCCCACAAAATCTTAAATTCCTGTTATGTCTTTTTCAGTTTATCGGTCTACGCAAAGAGGATTGGCGACAAAAGGATGAAGACGACGATATGTTTTTTTCCCTGGATCGGGAGCTTGAGGAGATTCTTGAAGAAGAGATTGACGAACTACCCGATGCTCTCCCAAACAATACACTGCTCCACAGTGAAGCCACCACAGATGACAGGCTGCCAGCTAAACTGAAAATATCGAGTTGCCCCACAACAGAAGAATACTCATTCGAAAGTGGTAAATATGACAGGTGCGCCTATGAAGGCAAATAAAACTCTTTTGATCATTGGTAATAAAAAGAACATCAGCAATGAAGCGCCAGGTGCTGGACTACTTTCATCACTTGCTTTTCCGCTGCTACTACAGCGCGATCAAACGCGGATTCTTGAAGACGAATTTAACGACGAAAACGAATTAGCCGATTATCTCACGGGAACGCCTGCTTCTTCCGGTGTCTCACAATCACTGCATAACTGTCCCTCTGTAATGTATGATATTGCATCCTTTCATTATTATTTGAGCGAACATGTCATGTGGTCTAGTAAGGGCTCTTGTACAGCCCGATACACGTGTTTCGACCCTTACAGACTCGTCAGTCGGGCAGAACCCGTCGTCTTTCGATATTTTATAGTCAGTTCTCTCGGGAGCTCTGCTCCCTTACAGAGAATTATCGAAGACGAACGTTTTACATTCTATGTCAAGCGAAATTCTCACCTAACACAGAGTGTTTGTGCACTCGAATGCATTTTGGCTGAGAGCCCTTACCAGACCACATGACAAGTTGGCTCAAATATTATTGAAAGGATCTATTAAAATTTGAGCGTGGTCTCAATAAAGCACTCGAAATAAGGGTATAATATGATATTGCACTCAGCACTCCAATAGCAACAATTTCTATTACATCCTCTTCAGAAAGCGGGAAAAAACCTACATTTGCTTTTCTAACGTCGAAAAAGAAGAATACTCAACCACTTCAGAACCCTACCAGGAATTGCACAAGAGGCAGCGTCTGCTATAAAGACGACGATTGCGGAGAGGTATCGTAATTTTCAAGTTAAAGTGTTTCCAAGTAGTTTTTAGAGGAAGCCTCATATCCAAGTCGTTTTCGCATTTCCCCTGGATAACATTACTTAGAACACTGATTCACTGAAGAAATTTGAAGTTGATAGCTTCTTATTACGTCAAGGTACAACTGTCATTGCCTTCAAAATCTAAAGGAGATAGATAACTGCAGGAGCAACTTTGCTTGTCGAAATTCAACCCCTTTGTCCTCTGTCGCACGCTATCATGGATCAAACGCTTCATTGCGATCACATAGTGCTTTACGAATGCATAAATAATGACTATTGTTTCTGATTAGGACGGAACAAATGAAAAACCAATTTCATTTTATTGGCAAAAATAATTTTCATGGCAGTGTTAGTAACCATTCGATTGATGATACTTGCTGCTACTGTTCCATATCGCCGGTCTCTCAAAACACCCTTTTACAACGCTGTAGCATTCATATCAAAAATTATGTTCGACACTCGCCTTTCGCCTTTATTTTTATCACGCTTATAATTCGCTGGAAGCCGAAAAGTATATCATTGTGCAGGGAAATTTCCGTAGTGTCTCAGTAAACCGTTTCATCTGGAGTCTCCTGCCACGCCCCTACCACGACCCTCGTTTTGTCGAGTAGCCGATACACAACTTTGCCAAAAATGTGAAACCCGATCTTATTTTCCTGCTGAACCGTATTTCCAGAAAATAAGCACATCGCTAGAATTAGAAAACATTACGCTATCACATGACTATCAGTAGTTCAAAGATAGAACTCTGCTCTGCGGGGCTTAAAGCACAAATTAAAAGACGATAGGAGGTCGAAGGATCAAAGGAGCTTTTCGAAAAAGCAACATAGCTTTGAATTTTTGAAGCTTGTACTATAGTTTAAGTGTTAGCACTTTAAAGCAGGAGTTTTATTCAGCGAAATATAAGCAAGATAAGAGAAAAAACCTGTGGTTTTATAGAACATGATATTATTTTGAATGTTACAGTGGTTTTGTTTTGCAAAACCGGCGACTTGGGAATGTAACCTCATGTCTCAGCTTTTGAATGGTTACTAACATTCCTATGACAAGTTCTTCTCCAGGGAATGAGATCGGCTTTTCATTTGTTCCCTTCAAATCAGAAAAACCACAATGACGGTCCATAACTAGTCTTGTCGTTCCCAGCGCACCGCTATATTGAACTGAGAATTAGCGAATATATTCGAGTACATCACATTCTAATTGCTATGTATATGCTTAGTTAGCAAATGCTGCGGAGATATGTCGCTTTTATTCCAGAAATTAAACATGTTTCGTAACACTGTCGAGAGAGAGAGAGAGAGAGAGAGAGAGAGGAGAGAGGGAGGGAGGGAGGGAGGGAGGGAGGGAAGGAGAGGGAGAGGGATCGAAAGTTGCAAAAGAGAACATTTGCTTGGTGAGCAAAAAACCGGAGTAACCTAACCCTAAATTAGATTACCGCGCTAGTGTTTTTTAAATTTGCATCTACACAACCGGCAGTTTGGTCTAACTTAGGCTAGATGTGATCTGAAGCCAACAGCTGCAAAAAGTCCACGCGATCATGCTTCGAAATCTCTTAGTCCAACTTCTGCTTCAAAGTAGAAAGCCGAAGAGCGCTAACCTTGTGGTCATCAGGTAGTTATGTATAGATACTTACGAGGTCTCGATGATTTGTACCCACTTTATTCTGTATCGTAGTCCAATTCCTTTATCTTCTCAATGTACTGTTACAATTTTATCACAGTACATTATTTCTCGTCTTTTCTGACATGAACTGAGGACTGATTGCGATCACTTCAATGAAAGAACAATTTTTTCCTCAAGTAATTGGTGGGACCCGAAAAAAAAGACGGCCTTCTGTCGCATTTCCCTCACTTCACGCGCGAAGTCGTTCGTAACTATACAAAAATTGTAAATAATAGCAATCCTACACATCAGATCAATTCACGACGTTATCTCTCCAATCTACATAAATGAGTAATTTTTTTCTGTTTCTTTGGATCTGGATTGTGATCCTGGAATTGATTATCAACGTCATCATTGCCCGGTTCATTGGTCGCTCATGAACAATTCTCGTAAAGAACCTTCTGTCTTCTCAATCCTTGAGGAGAAAAAAGGGCGATGGACTTATGAATGACAAAGACACATTGGCTCATAGTTTCGTTGATAGCATTATGGGTGCCGATGTTTACTAATGATGCGATTTATTAGTGTAAAGACAAGACATCTGATTGTCGTGATGCGATGCGGAAAGTGTGTTTCAAAGAACGAGGAATTCGCCAGGTTACATTGAGGCAAATAGTCTTCGTCACCTTAACGATGTTAATCAACGCAAGATTTATAGTTTAGTTGTTCTTTCAAAATCATTCTACGCTCGGGCGACAAAAAGTTGTGACCACTAGGTACTATTCACTGACTGGGTAGTTGATGAATATCGAATAAATAAGTAATTACGGCTACCAAAAAGTGCAGAAGCATTCAGTCCCTCAGTAATTACTAGTGCGATAAACAACGATACGACCCTTGTTGTTCCAATTTACAGAGGCCGTAGGAACTAAGTTAAATGAAAATACG